GGGGGCCAGGCCTCTGGGGCCGGAGCCCGTGCGGCGCCCAGCTGTGTTATGAAAACGCTCTCCACGTGGGCACTGACGTGGGAGAATGGTGCCTCTCAGGGCCCCGTGGACCCCAGGCCCTGTCCTCCCGGAAGGGGGCAGCCGCCTCGGGGGCCACAATGGTGGTGCGTGGAGCATGCATGGAGAGACGGGCTCCGGCGAGCAGGTTTCCAGGCGGGAAGCGGTGTCCTCCCAGACGGGGACAGGGCTGGCCCGAACTCCCTGCTGTGCCACGCCTAGGAGACCAGCCCGGGGCGCCACCACACGGGATCCCCACTGGGTCAGTAACAGACTCCTGGGGCTTCCCAGTCCTTACAGAAGTTGGGGTCTTCAGGCCATGGTGGCCAGCATGATGTGTGTGGCCCCCTAAGGGGGTGCCCTGGAAACCAGATGACTTTCTGGGGCACACCCCCCCCAATTCTCACAGAGTGAGTGGAAATTCACCCAGAGAAAAAGCCGTGAATGCATCAGGATACTCCATAGGTACGATCCCACATGGAGAGAGAGAGAGAGAGAGAGTCGTGTTGGGGGGGGTGCCCACGAGCAGCCTGCGTGCCCCGCCCCCCCAGGGGTCTGGGGGCTCTTGCTGGTGCCCTGGCTCACGGTGTGCACACGTGCACCCCACATAGTGCCCATGGAGGGATGGTGGCGGGATGTGGGGCCTTTCTGGGAAAGGGGCATGGGGCCTGGAGAAGGTGGGGTCTGAGGCATGGAGGGCTCCCACACACGTGGGCCGCGGCTGATCCGGTCATCCAGAGTGCCTGCCCAGGTGGCTGCCAGCGTTCCAGGAACGGAAAAAGGAAAAAGCTGGAAGTGGCGCTGTGGCTCAAGTGGTAGAGCACTAGCCTTGACCTGAAGAGCTGAGGGACAGTGCCCAGGCCCAGAGTTCAGGCCCCACGACCGGACCCAAAAAAAAAGAAAAGAAAAATAGGGGAAAAGGGAAAGATTTTCCCGTTGTATTGCTTTTGAGCAGAGACTAGTCTAGGGAACACGGAGACAGGGCCTTCCATTGCTGTAACAGCATGTGCCAAGGCCCTGTGGTGGGAAGGGCATGTTATCTCCAGACTATGAGGAGACTGAGGAGGCAGCTGGAAGGAGGGAGAGATGGCAGGAGCCGGGGCCTGGAGGTGGAAAAGCAAGTCCTCAAAGCTCGGAAGTCTTCGGGTGTTGGAGCGCGGAGGCGTCTGCCTGCTGACGGAGGGGTGGACTGCAGGAACCCAGAGCTCACCAGGACGCAGGCTGGTGAGCAGGGCCGACCACTGTGACTGCGCTGCGATGACAGTGGTGTACAAGCTGAGAAGGGCTGGCGGGGATGCTCAGGCTCTGAAGGTAGAGCTGTGTGTGTGAGAGAGAGAGAGACAGACAGACCGGGAGAGCCTGAGACAGACACACATACACACCCGGAGAGGACGGGGTCTGGCCTGGCTGGATAGAGCTGCCTGGGACAGGTGGAGCGGGCCTGGGAGGGAGGACCAGCCCTAGGTTGGGTCCGCCCGGGGAAGGTAGCCATCCCAGAGGCGCTGGCGGATAGCCCGCGGGGCAAGTGGACTCAAGGGCCACCGGTCAGCCTCGCAGGCGTCAGCTCAGTCCACCCAAGCTGTGAGGGCCCAGCACCCCGCCACTGGAGGACTGTCTCTTCAGGGGGTTTTCTGAGTTGCTTACCCACTCGTTTCTGACACACGTCTTGAGTTTCTTACATGCTTTCTGTGGGACATTTCCTAACATATGCATAAATAGGCAGAACAGTGCGGTGGGCTTTGTGAACTCAGGACGCACCCGGAGCATCCCGGATTGATCCCAGGGCGTGGCCCGGAGAACGGGACCTGAGGCCCTGGAATGTGGCGAGAGTCAGTCTAGAACCTGAGGAGCCTGGAGGGGCAGGCCCAGCTGGGAGAAGGGGGAGGCCGGGGGATCGGGCTAGGCTGTTCCCAGGGCCGTGGCAGACAGTCCAGCACTGCAGGGGCCAGGCCCTCGCTCCACAGCTGCTGGTGGGTGGATGTGCGGGGCAGGAAGTCAGGCAGCAGACCTGGAGGCACAGGTGAGACACAGTAGACTGAAGCTGACTTGGCTGCAGGGGCTGGGGAGCAGGGGCAGGTCCTGGGGCTTGAACTCAGACCCTGCCCTTGGCCCTGTGCAAAAAGACATAAGGTTAGCCTTCTACCACCGGAGCCACAGTTCTGCTTCCAGCTCTTTTTGGTGTTTACTTGGAGATGAGAATCTCACGGAATTTTCACCAGAATTCTCAGATCTCAGCCACCTGAGTAGCTAGGATGGCAGAGGTGAGCCGCCGGCGCCTGCTGACCTGTAAGAGCAGCTTGGGAAGGACTTTCAGGAGTGGCGGGACTTGGCAGGACTTTGAGAACCCGGGGCTGTAAGTGACGGGAAGAACTGGGAATGCTCAGCGGTGGGATCTCTCGATTTGGGGGAAGAAGGGATCTGCAGGGCAGACGGCAGGGGACAGGAGTTCCAGGTGGCCGCCCCCAGCCTGCGTGCCGGGCTCTCACTGGGCCGTGATGAGGCCTCATGGGATCGGTCAGTCAGTCCACTCATAGTCAGTAAGGAGGCAGAAGGAGGGTGGTATGGCCAGGGTATCGGGCTTCCCGGGTGCCAGTGGGGGGTGAGCCAGGCCTGGCGAGCCGCAGAGCTGTGGGTGCTGGACAGAGGCACGGGGCGGTTCTGCAGGATGCATGGGTGTGCAGGGCCTTGCTCCTCACTCTCAGCCTGACCGCATCCAGGCTGGGAGGGCCTCAGCAGGAGGGAGGCCTCCAGCCAGGGACTGCCTACCGCGTCCCTTTGCTGTGTGACACAGTCCTGGCGGGGGAGGGGGGAGGGGGAGTCACCATGGGCCTGTGGACACTCACTGTGAAGGCGAAGGTGTGGCCCAATCCATGGATCGTGTCAGCAGCCTGTCCACAGCAGGCTGCACAGAGACAAGGCTCCGGGGACTTCCCCGGACCCTGACCGGGACAAAGGTCCCCGCCCCCGCGTGCGAGCGCATTGATTCCTGGCACAGATTCTGGGCCCAGGGGGGCTGACCCAGCACTTCACCTCTCTGCACCTGGTGACTGTTCTATCGCTCGGACGTGGAAGTCGCTTCTGTAGGTGTCATGGTGTTTGTCGGGGACTGCTGGTCTCGGTAAATGCCCCCCCCCGCCCACACACCACACCAAGCTTCACTCCCCGCAGGCCCAGGGCTGTGACGGGCTGATCCCCTTCTCCTCTCCTGAAAACACCAGCGCTCAGGCCCGTCTGCCTATCCCGAAGGCCTGGCCCTCACTCCGGGCCCTGTCATGGTACTGAGAGAATCTGATCACGCTGCCGTGCTGACCGTCACTTCCTCCCCCGTGATGATAGGAAAGCTGAGCGGCACCTTGGCCTAGCTCGCTGCCACCACTACCTATCCAGGGGATAAAGTTGCCCTCCAGACACATGCCAGCTTCTCCGGGCCTCTGGTCCTCTGTATAAGACTCCCAAGGGAGAGTGGCCACGAAGCTGGCCCTCACCAAACCATCAAGGCCCTCTCAGGCTCTCCTAACCTGTGACAAAGAGAACTGCCACCGGTAGCTTCTGAGAGTCTGTAGGAAAAGAGCTGCCCCACCCAGCCTTCCATCTTTCCCAGCTGGCCAGGCTCCCCAGGACCTGCCCTGTGTTAGCACTAGTGTGCACAGCGCCACCCGAAGCTGCAGTCCTCTGTGGTCCAGCAGGTGCCCAGCACCCAGTGCCATATACATGAGAACTAGGGAGGGCAGGGCCCGCTGGTGGCTTTCCAGGGCCGCAAAGGGCCTTGGAGCTTGGCATTAGCACCTCTTTAGTGTTTCCATTTGGACTTTTGTTGGTGGTGGTGGTGGTTGTGGGGCTTGAACTCTGGGCCTGGGCGCTGTCCCTCAGCTCTTCCGCTCAAGGTGAGCGCTCTACCACTTGAGCCACAGCACCACTTGCAGTTTTCTGAGTGGCTTATTGGAGATAAGAGTCTCATGGACTTTCCTGCCCCAGGCTGGCTTTGAATCACCATCCTCAGATCTCAGCCTCCTTAGTAGCTAGGATTATAGGCATGAGCCACCAGCACCCAGCTAGACTTTTTTTTAAACTTTGCACAAAATGGTTTCTCTTGGCCAGACATGGGACATTCATGCAGCACATTCCTTGGGAGGTAGGACAGCGGACGTGGTCAGCTCTGTTTCACCAGCCCCAGCAGGACGAGCTAGCATCTGCCTGTTTCTGCTGAGAGTGTACAGAAATCTCATGTTTAAATCAGTTCTCGTCCATTCCTGTGCCCTGATTATGGGCCCTGGCACAGGGTCTGCTCCAAGCCAATCATTTTATTGGTGTCCAGAATTCCTGACTCCCAAAATAATGCTTATGTCCCGAGCACCTGACACCTCCCACTGGCTTTTGTGTTCAAGCACACATCAGAAGCCTTGTGGCCCTTGTAGATCATGTCTGTGCTGGTTGCTTGCTTGGAGTCCATGAGCGAATACAGTGGAGAGTGAGCAGGGAGCTCCTGCTGGCCTTTGCGGCCAGACCTCCAGAGCAAATTGTGTGGTGGGGTGTTGATGGATGTTGTGGGGCGCTGAGTCACCCACAGCTGCTCCACACATGAGACTGGCCACTTCCCAACAGACCTGGGTGGGCAGGCGCTGCTCCACACATGAGACTGGCCACTTCCTAACAGACCTGGGCAGGGGGGACAGGGGGGCGGGCAGTGCAGGCCGCACAGTCGCTGGTGTCCTCTTGAATGTGCCAAGTGCCTGGCCAGGTGCTGGGACACCTTTCACGAACTCCATTGTGCCCCCGGAAACGCAGCTGTGCGTCCGAACCTGCTGAACCCACAGACCACAGAGGCTGGGGACCATGCCCCTCCACTCCCAGGCCCGGAGACATGAAACAGCTCTCTTCATTGTGATGGCTCAAAAGAAAGAGAATTCCCGCCTCCTTTCATCTTTCTCCTGTCCTTTCAGATATAAGCGCACTGCCCCGTGGACGCCACTGTGCCACATGGCTGCTTGAGACCGAAGCCTCGGCTGCTGGAATTGTGGAGGAAGAGACATGAAACCCTAGCACCTCACGGCCCGGAGTGTCAGGATGGCAGCCCAGCGGATCCGAGCGGCCAACTCCAACATCCTCCCCCGGTGCAAGTCAGAGGGGACCCTGATTGACCTGAGCGAGGGCTTCTCAGAAACGAGCTTTAATGAAGTCAAAGGTGAGCTCCTGACCACACCGCTGGCTCGGGGCATGGGACAGCGTGGGCTTTCTGCGTCCCAGGCCGAAGTGTCAAGGTTGACTAAATTTCAGTCCTCGACACCTTGTCCTCCCTGGAACAAGAGCCACATGGCTTGATGGTTGGTGTGCTGGAGGAGTGTGTGAGTGGCCCCCTTGGTAGGAATCACCTTCTTTCTGTAGCTTAGATAAGGAGCCTGGTGGTGGAGACATCTAGGCTAGGGAAAGACAGTGGAGAAGAGAGGAAGGAGGCTGGGACCCACCAGAGCAGAAAATATTCCAAGCCTTTTCCTGGTTTCAGATCTGTCGCCACTACTCAGTGCTGCCCTTAAAGCTCGAAAGCAGCCACAGACGTGGGTGAATGAGTAGACGTGGCTGGACTCCAGTGCCGTTTCACCAACACAGCCGTGGCTCTACCACCCTGGCTCCATGGCTTTCTCCAGCACCCTCACCATGTGGCGTTGGTGAGAAAGCCATCTTTCAGACTCTTAGGTGGGCCCAGGCCTCGCGAGGCCTTGTCATCTCGCGTGCTCTCCAGGTAGGTGGGCAGCCAGGACAGCAGCAGCCACGTTACCAGCACACTGAACTTCCTAACAGCCCCCAGTGGTTCTTGTGTTAAAATCAAGGCCGCTGCTGGGTGCCCGTGGCTCACATCCGAAAACCTAACTACTTAGGAAGTATCCGAGGATTGTGGTTCGAAGCCAGCCCAGGCAGTAAACGACTCAGAAAAAGCCGGAAGTGGCACTGTGGCTCAAGTGGTAGAGTGCTAGTCTTGAATAAAAAGGTCAGAGACAGAAGCTCAGGGACAGGGCCCCAGCCTTGAGTTTGAGCCCCAGGATTCTATGCCTCAGGATGTGGTAGTGGTTGATGTTGCACATGCATGGTCCAGGACAGAATTCACACCTCCATCCCCTTTTTTGGGGGGAGGGGCTGCAGGAGGGAGGGACAAGGAGGGGGAGGGACGGAGGGAAGAAGGGAGGGCCTTCTCCCCTGGGTGAACCTGAACCCTGTTTGAGCTGTGTCACCACTTCCATTTGGAGACAAGTGCTTGGAATTTTAAGTAAAACCTCCTCATTCTTCTGTCGTGTAAACCTAAAATGATAATGGGCATTGATACATTTTAGGCGATACACAAAGCATGCTTAATTGCTTTGTTTTTCTTTTAATTTTAAAATATTACTGAAAGGAAAGTAATTACTCTGGGGAGCAGAACAAGATGTCACTGTGGAGGAATTCTAACAGGCCTTTACTCACTAATTCTCAGTTGGTTTTAATTTGCTCTCCAGTAAATGTGTCAGGAAGCTAAGTGGTTTCCATTACTGGACATCAGCCTGACCCAGATCCTCTTTCCATAATTTTTCCTGAAGCCCATTCTTGGGGCTCAGCAAGCAACACCCCACAAAGGCCTCCAAAGCACAGTCTCTCTCCTTTCTTTGCCTTCCTGCCTCTCTCCCCTCTTTTTGAGGCAAGTGATGTAAACCAGAATTCCGCTTACCCAGGCAGCTGAGAGAGTCCAGGGTCCCTTCCCCACAAGGTGGTCCTTAAGACCTAAAAATGGCACTCCTGACTTCGTCTGCCTGGGTAAGAGCTGGCCATAAATAAATCCGAGGCCTTGTTCCCGTGCCGCCATGCCTCACACCCGGGTTTTGTGCCGTGACCAGGAAGTCTGGAGAGAGTCTGTGCTCGGTCTCCGACCAGATGGTTCCATCTTTGTTGGAATTCAGGGGTAGAGAGGACAGCTCCCTTTGTCCCCCGCACTGGGTGCTGAGCAGAAAATGGAATTAGCAGGGGACCGACGTGTTTGTCTTCAGGTGACGTTTTGGCATCATTACACCAAGCACTTGATCCCTCGTTAAACCTCACCCCTACTGCAGTCTGCTGAAGAAAGATGCTTTTCTCCATCAGGAAGAGAACTGGACTGTCATGTTCATGTGGCGTGGAGGGCCTGGACCCAAGCTCAGGTCTAGTGATCTCAGATGCAGGGGCCAACAACGCAGCCAGGGCTCGGCCTGATTCTTCAGGATTCAGGACCCAGAAGCCTCCCCCCACCCCCGCCACGGTGTTCTCTGCATCACCTAGTGAGTGGCACTGAATAGAAACTCTTCCTGAGATGCTACCAAAGAAATAGATTTTATTATTTTTTCCCCGGTGTTCACTTTGCTGGCACTCTACCACCTGAGCCGTACCACCAGCCGGGTTTTGTTGGTTCTTTTTTGGAGATGAAATCTTGTGGACATTTCTGCTTAGTCTAACTTCAAACTTCAGTCCCCAGGGCTTAGCCTCCCGAGTAACTAAAATTATAGGGGCCACCCATGCCCACTTCGACTCTAATATTCCACAATCAAATAAAAAGTGAATCAGCAGATCAGGTTTTTTTGGATGGCCAACTAGATAGCATTGGCTGATTGTGAACTTAATCGCCTATTAGACTAGATGTAGATGTGGTGGTTCAGCTAAAAATTCCATCCACTTGTTTGCAAAAACAACGTGAAAAATAAAATAAGCTTGCTTGTTGCTTTCAGATGTGAGCAAGGCTGTGGTGGAGGCTGCTTCCCCAGGAGCTCTCCATCCTCAGAGCCTCCACATGTGGGCGGGAACCAGAATATTCCACACACCTTACTATTTCTCAAAACTTACTCTTCTTGGGTTATATTGGTAACATCCATGGTTTAATAGTAAGCAGTATAAATGAACCTGACCCATTTTTTTGAAAGTGGTAGAATTTTCAGACTACTTCCATAGTGGTTCAGATGTGACCCATCACCAGACATAAACCTCGAGCTACCAAACTGCGTGGACAGGCCCGCCATCACTATGAGTGATCTTGACAGAAAGGTGAAGAGACTACCCTCAAAAATCACTGCTCACCTAAAGAGACGCTTTGCTGAGAACAGGTTGAATGGGGAAACTTAATGTTGGGACCTGCCCCTACATCCCTCCGTTCCCCGCTGAAAGAGCCTGGAACTGGCCCCGGGCTCAGGACTCACTGCCAGTCCCTAGCTATGTGCAGAGTGTAGCCTAAGAATCCAGCTTCCAGCCTCTCTCTCCACAGACTAATAAATCTGAACTTGATAACACTAGTACTAGCAATACTAGAAATCGATCATGAAAAGCTCGGTTGAAACAAGATGTTCAGAACCAAGGGAGATGTGAACTGTCCTATAATGCCAATTTGCCTTTCTTCAGTGGTCTGAGGACTCTGGTCCTTCTGCCCCGTGATTAAATGGGAAAGTGACAAGGTAACCACAGAGCCAGGTGAAGTTCATAAAGAAGTTCGTCTTGGTTTTTATTTAGCGGCCCCTTCCCTGGCCTGTGGCCCCACCTCAGTGCTATCTGCTTCTCGTTCCCCCGTCTTCCCCTCTTCCTCCTTGGAAGTCCTCCATGGTCCTCCTGAGCTGGGCCTCACACGTCTCTTTCTGTTTTCCACAGTGCCTTCTCCCAGTGCCTTGCTAGTCGACAGCCCCACGCCTTTTGGAAATGCAAAGGAAGTGATTGCGATCAAGGACTATTGCCCAACCAACTTCACCACCCTGAAGTTCTCCAAGGGTGACCATCTCTACGTCTTGGATACATCAGGCGGGGAGTGGTGGTACGCGCACAACACCACCGAAATGGGCTACATCCCTTCCTCCTACGTGCAGCCCTTAAACTATCGGAACTCAACACTGAGTGACAGCGGTGTGATCGACAATCTTCCAGACAGCCCAGACGAAGTTGCCAAGGAGCTAGATCTTCTTGGGGCATGGACAGATGACCAGAAAGGATCAGGTAAAGCCTACAGTAATAACCCTTTCTGGAACGGAGTCCAAACAAACCCATTTCTCAATGGGAACGTGCCGCCCAGCTTTGAGGAATCCAATGCTAAAACCACTGTGGATTTGCTGCTATTCGATACTGGCACACCCTCGTTTACTGCGTCCAGCTCAGTCACCACCAACAGCACCGGCAATATCTTCGACGAGCTCCCAGCCACAAATGGGTTCCAGGCAGAGCAGCCGGTGAACCGGGACAACCCGTTCTTCAGAAGCAAACGTTCCTACAGTCTGTCGGAGCTGTCTGTCCTGCAAGCCAAGTCGGACGTTCCCACCACATCCAGTTTCTTTACAGGCTTGAAGTCTCCTGCTCCCGAGCAATTCCAGAGCCGGGAGGACTTTCGAACTGCCTGGTTGAACCACCGCAAACTAGCCCGGTCATGCCACGACTTGGACCTGCTGGGCCAAAGCCCTGGATGGGGCCAGACCCAAGCAGTGGAGACCAACATCGTGTGCAAGCTGGACAGCTCAGGAGGCGCCGTGCAGCTCCCCGACACCAACATCACCATCCGCGTGCCCGAGGGCCACGTGGCCCCTGGGGAGACCCAGCAGATCTCCATGAGGGCGCTGCTGGACCCCCCGCTGGAGCTGAACAGCGACCGCTCCAGCAGCATCAGCCCCATTGTGGAGGTGAAGCTGAGCAACCTCGAAGTGCACACCTTTATCATCCTGGAGATGAAGGTCTCGGCCGAGGTGAAAGGCGACATTTTCAGCAAAAGCACGGTGGGCCTGCAGTGCCTGAGGAGCGACACGAAGGAAGGGCCGTACGCGTCCATACCCCTGGCCTACAGCTACGGGGACACCATCCAGGTGCACCTGCACAACCTCGAGCCCTGCATGTACCTGGCCATCGTCGCCCACGGCCCGAACATCCTCTACCCGTCCTCTGTGTGGGACTTCATCAACAAGAGGGTCACTGTGGGGCTTTACGGGCCCAAACACATCCACCCGTCGTTCAAGACGGTGGTGACCATTTTCGGGCATGACTGTGCCCCCAAGACCCTCTTGGTCAGCGAGGTCACCCGGCAGGCCCCCGGCCCGGCCCCCGTAGCACTGCAGCTGTGGGGCAAGCACCAGTTCATCTTGTCCAGGCCCCAGGACCTCAAAGTCTGCATGTTCTCCAACATGACCAACTACGAGGTCAAGGCCGGCGAGCAGGCCAAGATGGTGAGAGGCTTCCAGATGAAGCTGGGCAAGGTGAGCCGCCTCATCTTCCCCATCACGTCCCAGAACCCCAACGAGCTGTCCGACTTCACCCTGAGGGTGCAGGTGAAGGACGACCAGGAGGCCATCCTCACTCAGTTCTGCGTCCAGACGCCTCAGCCCCCGCCCAAGAGTGCCATCAAGCCATCCGGGCAGAGGAGGTTTCTCAAGAAGAATGAGGTGGGGAAGATCATCCTGTCCCCGTTTGCCGCCACCACCAAGTACCCGACGTTCCAGGACCGCCCCGTGTCCAGCCTCAAGTTCGGCAAGCTGCTCAAGACGGTGGTCCGGCAGAACAAGAACCACTACCTGCTGGAATACAAGAAGGGCGACGTGGTCGCGCTGCTCAGCGAGGAGCGCATCAGGCTGAAGGGGCAGCTGTGGACCAAGGAGTGGTACATCGGCTACTACCAGGGCAAGGTGGGCCTGGTGCACACCAAGAACGTGCTGGTGGTGGGCAAGGCCAGGCCCTGCCTGCTGTCAGGGCCCGAGCTGAGCACGTCGGTGCTGCTGGAGCAGATCCTCCGGCCGTGCAAGTTCCTCACCTACATCTACGCCTCCGTGCGCACCTTGCTCATGGAGAACATCAGCAGCTGGCGCGCCTTTGCGGACGCCCTGGGCTACGTCAGCCAGCCGCTCACCTTCTTCTGCCGGGCAGATCTGGACAGTGAGCCGGAGCGGGTGGCCTCTGTCCTGGAAAAGCTGAAGGAGGATTGTAACAACCCCGACAACAGAGACCGCAAGTCCTTCCAGAAAGAGCTCGTGATGGTGAGTGCCCCAGCAGGCGTGCAACTCCAGGCCCGGGCTCCTCGAAGCTTCCCAGCTACGGGATCAGGGCTGGGCCAGCTCCTGGGGCCAGAGTCTTGGTGGAGGTTCTTGGGCTCATGCTGTGCATCTCTGAGCTCCACGGTGGCCTGAGGATGGGCGCAGGGACATGGGCACAGCAGAGCCTGCACTCAGGCCACTTCTGATTTTGGTGCAGATTTTAGAACATCCGATTTTAGAACCATCTGTGAAGAAGAGGTGAGAACCTCTTGCCCAACTCTTGGTCTTACTTGATGTGAGTTCTTATCTAGTCTTACCTGGTGCTTCCAACAGAAGCGTGGCATCTGCCGCGGTGCCTCCTCCCCTTGCCAGGCGATGACGGCCATCGCTCCGGCTGTACAACACGAGCTGGAGGTCTAAGAGCTGAGCTGGACGGGGTGTCCACCGCAGGACACGCGCTGGCCACACACGCACGTGCTCCCAGCAGCCTGGTGGCCTGGGTCCTGCCTCCCGCGGGCCATAGCCACTGACGGTGGTGCTCTGCAGGTACTCGGGGTCAGACGGAGTAGATGCGGCCCCATCCCATGGTGGGGACCCCTCTGCTCCCGTGGACGCCTGGGTGACCTTGTGGCACGCCTCCTGGCTCATCCTGTGCCTATCTGGTGGGATGCGGCTCTCAGAGCCTCAGCCACCTGCCGCTCCCTCCTCAACTTCACCTTGAGTGAAAGTAACTGGGGTGAAAGAGCCAGGATGTTGGGGTGTCTGTGAGACAACGCAGATGAACCCCTGAGGCTCGCGCGCGCACACACACACACATCTCAGCTGTGCCTGGGCACCTGGGAGTGTGTATGTACAAAGAGCCACCTTGCAGCCAGGTAGGGAGCAGGATGGGGTAGACAGACTTGAAATTACCCAATGGGGAGGAGACAGAACCAGAAGGGGTCATTAGAAGTGTAATCTTGACAACCCCGAGGTCCCCGGGGGAGGCCTTGGTGGCTGTGGTTTCCGCGGGGTGAGGCTGCAAATGAAAAAGGGCCACAGGGGATTTGCACGGGCCCTGCAGTATGGCCCTTCCCTGAGCCAGCACCTGCTTCCAGCTCAGGGTTCACTTCCTGGCTCTCCTGTAAAGAAAATTCCAGAACTGTGGCTGGAGCCAGCTCCATAGGCAGGGGTAATGTTCCTGGGAGATCCTTGGTTTGTCGTTCTTCACTGATTGTGAATTAAGTGCTTTCATAGAACATAAACGATATCGATTGTATCAACTCTTTCCTTCTGCAGCTGGAAAAGAGCGCTCACCTTGAGTGCGAGAGCTGCGCGATGAAGCAGCCCCTCCCGGCCATGACGTTCATGCTCACGCCCTTGAAACGCTTCTAGGAACAGATTCTTCTTACCCAAATTGAAGATGGGGGATTTTTTGGTTAGCAGTGGGGGGGTCCTGTGTCCCTCTGAGCCCCTACATCTCCCTTTGCGTGAGGAGGAGATGAAACCTGTCTTGGCTGGAACTCACCTGGGACAGTGACTTTCGGGGTCCTAGGAGTAGCTGACCATGGCAGGTGTATTTTAATGGTCATCAAATGCCCAAAACCGCAGCTGATTTACCCTATCACTAGAAATGCCATTCATGTCACAGGACAGTGCTGCCAGCGTGGCGTCTTCTCAGGTGTTGGGTCCAGTGTCAGGCCCTGGTGAAACAAGCTAGTGCCCCTGGCTGGCTCTGCACCTCACTCTTGGCCCGGGCTGGAGGCGGGGGGGGGGGGGGAGGGGGGCCAGCAGGAAGTCCTCACCAGGCTTGCTTGAATCAGGACTGGTCTTGTGTGCTTGATTCTTGTTCTTGCCCCACTGAAGACATTCTTCTTGGAGAAGAACTGTGGGAAGTGGTGGATGAAAGAGCCCATCTCAGCTCAGAAGCTGGGCGTACATTACGGCTCGTGGGGGATGTGTACAGGAGGATCAAGGTTCACAACCCAGGCAAAAGTGCAAGATACTATCCTAAATATAACCAAAGCCTAAAGGCCTGGAAGCAGGGTTCAAGTGGTAGAATGCCTACCTAGGAAGAAAGCAGGGCCCTGAGTTCAAGCCCCAGTACTGCCAGAAACAACCAAGAATCTGTTCCTGATTTTCAAGTCACATGGTTTCTGTTCTCATAGTAGAAACGGAGAGAGAGGTAACTGGAGACAGGTGGAGCAGGGAGAGTTGGAGGCAGGACGGAAGCAGCCCCCGTGGCCCTCAAAGGGAGAAATTGTCCGAGCCAGGAGTCACATGACAGTTTTTCAAAGTAAGGGAAGAGTGGAAACTCAGAGATGTGTCTTGAGCAAGGAGAGAACAGGTTGCTGTGGGGGAGGATGTTGCCTTCAGAGGGGAACAGGCAGGGCTGCCCCAGAAGCCTGACAGCAGATGAGCACGAGCAGCCAGCGAGGGAGGGCTGGGGCTAGGGGGGCGGGGGAGGGGGGGACGGGGGGAACCGCGTGGGGTTCCCAGTGGATTGGGAGAAACGCACCTATCCCTCAGCCCAGCTGTGGCTGGGGTTCCTGGGGTCCCTGCTAGGCAGGTCAGAGCTGATGACATAGCTGGCTCTGGTAATGAGCAGTGCGGCGTGACCTGGAATACAGGAGTGCTCGTCTCCTGGTCCCTGAACTTCCTGAGAACGGACGCAGAGAGAACGAACCACAACAGAGCATCGTTGAGCCTGAGGGCCGCCCCTTCTTACATGGCATCTTTCAGGGACCCAGCCCTGGCCTACCTACCTGGCCTGGTCTACCTGTCTCATCTGTGGCTGCTCAGAGGCCATGTCTGCACAATTGAGAATGGGCCACACACCGTGGGTCACATAAAGCCACAGCATTTACAGCCCGCCCCTTTCGATACTATGTCTGATCATAGCTCAGTCTGGTTAACAAAATCCCTGCTGAAATCAGCCTGAGGTATTTGCTGATAACCTGTGGGTACAAAATAAAAGGAAACCCACAGGAACCGTGCCCAGAGCTGAAGTTTCCTGCTGTGTAGTTTCCTATTGTTCAGACTTGGTGCCTGGAAAACTACATAAATGACTGCTTGGTGGTAGTGGTGTGGGCAGCTTTGTGAAGAACGAAGCTGGTGTTGGGTCCTAGAGAGGTTGTGTAAATGGAGCCGTAGTGAGTAAAAGGAAGACACCTTCGTTCCCAGTGTTGGCAGTCCCTCTTCATTCACAGGGGATCCGCAGAAACGGAATCCTGCTCTTTCTTCCAGCTGTGGCCAGTCAGGGACCAGAAAACAGCCACAGGACCTTTGTGTCCTGTGCCCAGAGCCCCTGGGGGAGAGTGCTTTTAATCACTCCTGCCAGGAATGACTCAGGTCACAAGCAGGTGACGTGTGATGTGGTCCGTTACCTAGGGAATGCGGCTCCTGCCTGCAGGACCCAGGCAGCCAAGTGTGCACACTCCACCCCCGTGTCCGTGTGGCGTGCTGAAGTGGCGTGGTGTCACGCCCGGTGGCCATTCGCATGGCTGGACAAAGTGATGCTCCCTAGAGAGCAGACCTCGTAGAGGGGAACCCTTCCAGCACCACCCCGTGCTCAGCCACACACGGGGCCCTTTTTACCTCTGAAACTCAAATCTAGTAAACATTGCACTTTTTAAAGCTATTTCTTTTGAATATACCAAAATCCAAATGACAGTCAACCACTTCTGAAATATGTAAGTAGCTACCACAAAGCATCCAGACCCGCTGTCTGCGGCTCAGGTCCTGAAGTCACATGGTACCCACCCATGGGAAAGCCAGCGGCTCCCACCTCTGTCCCTTCTGGCTGGGGGAGCCCGGACACGCTGCCTGGCCATCATCTTCGGTTATGTGACACGAGCAAGCCTGGCACCCTGAGGGGAGGCGGGGCCGGCCGCCCGGAAGCCAGTCTGGCTCCAACCCTGCCAGCTCTGCAGCCCACTCACTTCCCCTGCACCTGATCTGTAGAAACTGTGGTCAGCACAGTACCTGCTTCATGGAGTGGCTCTCTTCTTACAAGAGCACCAGTCATTGGTCCATTCCCCGCCACCGCCAATCAGGATGACCTTACCAATGTCTTGTAGGTCCTGTTTCCAGGTAAGGTCATGTGCTGGAATGCGAAGGGGGGAGTCTTCAGCCCATTTGTTGGGACATTCACAGGCCCCAGAATCTCAGGACAAAAAGAGCGTCCCTCATCTCAAAGCCAGAGCCTGGCTCCATCCCTGACTCAGCTGGTGCTCTTTCCTCCCCAGGCCCTACTGAAAATGGACTGCCAAGGCCTCGTGGTCAGACTCATCCAGGACTTTGTGCTCCTGACCACAGCTGTCGAGGTGGCCCAGCGCTGGAGGGAGCTGGCTGAGAAACTGGCCAAGGTCTCCAAGCAACAGATGGATGCCTACGAGTCTCCCCACCGGGACAGGAACGGGGTGGTGGACAGTGAGGTGAGCGGGGGCACGGGTTGGGGGGAGCAGCAAGGTGAGCAGGGGCACAGGTTGGGGGCAGTGAAGTCAGCAGTGCCCAGCTACTGGGTTACTTCATTCTCTGGTCTTGCGGTTCTCTGGGGTGCAAGGAGACATAGTGGATCTGCTTCATAGCATTCTGGGAGGGCTAAGTGAGGAAATGGACATGCGCCCGTCCACAGGGCACCCTGGCTAGGTGGGATCCATCCAGTTGTTCTTGGCAGCTTTTGTTGGGACTGCTGGTAAGGAAGAGGACAAGGCCATACCACTACAAGCTGGGAAGGTAGACCAGCTGTCTCTTGCCCATTCTGCTCCTAAATGACCTTTGGTGAGATTATACCTGCATACACAGAGCCGTGAGTGATAGCTCAGGACTGCCTCCCAGGCACTGCTGAGTCACTACCTGGTGGGTACCAAACTCTGGCAAAAAGTGGCTGCGGTAAAATCTCACTCAGAGACTCTGCTGTGCCCTTTTGTGCTGGTCATTACTGTCCAATACCTGGAAAGTGGCTCAAGGTGAATTTCTCATGAATGGATGGTTGCAGATAAGGGTATAGTGAGGAAAGAGAAAGCCTACGTGCTCACCCAAACAGACCTGCTCCGTACCTGTTCCCCGGCACTGCCCGCCTCTGCTGTGGGCCAGCCCGCTGCCACCCTAAAGAGTGTTGTGGACTGTGCGAGCAGAGCTAGGGCAAATCTCGCCACCCCTCATCTTCACGCTTTCCCTCTTCTCTGTTGTGTTTGCCGTGGCTCCATCAGGCCATGTGGAAACCCGCGTATGACTTCTTACTCACCTGGAGCCATCAGATTGGGGACAGCTACCGGGATGTCATCCAGGAGCTGCACATCGGCCTGGACAAGATGAAGAACCCCATCACCAAGCGCTGGAGACATCTCACCGGGACTCTCATTCTGGTGAACTCTCTGGACATCCTGCGGGCGGCCGCCTTCAGCCCCGCAGACCGTGACGACTTTGTGATCTGAATGGGTCCTCTGTCCTGCATTCTGGAACCCTCTGGAGGTCATTCCTTCCCTTCACCCATCCTGGGCACACCCCTGCCCCCATCAGCAGTGGGGGAAGGACAGGGGCGAGGCTGGCAGCCTGGTCCATAGGAAACCAAAGGGACTGGACGGAGGACCGGCAGTGACCGAGGACTGCCCAGTGGGGGGGGGGGGGGGGGGGCGGAGAGACTCGTTGCCAATCAAATAGCTTTCTATTTGTTGACATGTAAATTTCAATTTAAGAATCTTTTTTTTTTTTTAAAGAAAAAAGACTGAGAAGGGGAACATGAGAAAAATGGTATCTAATTTTGTAACGGCCTATAAACTTGATAGGAGCAAAGGCTTTTGAGGTTTTTCTGTTGTTCAGAGACTTTTTTAAATTATGTCACAGATGTATATAGATATTTAAAGGCCATGGGGCATTTCTGATTCCAAGTCATCCTTCTCAGTTCAACTCTCGGCACAGAGAGCGCTGTTGGGTGTTGGCCCCTTTGTGCTATCTGTCTTCAGGAAGGGGAAGCCAGTGGGCCGGGTGCCGCAGGTGGACGCAGTCAGGCGTCCTGAGAGCCTCCTGGGCCGCCCCTTCCTCGTACGATTCTTCCCTTCCTCCCTTTGGCTCCTGTTGTGGTGACTGTCCATAGAGCATATGGGACACTGAGTGCACAGTTAGGTCCCACAGTAGCAGGTGGGCACCAGGTGTTTCTGCCCATAGGTCAGAAAGCAGCTGCACTTGGCATTCTTTCTGGCCTGGCCACCTCTGTGTGCCATTTGTCATTCAGAAGAGTGGTGTGACTACATAGGACCCTGCCCCTCCCCCTCCAGCTCCAGGCCAGTGCTGGTGTTTCCCCTGGGGACAGGGGCACTTCCTGCCAAGCTAGCTCCCCTGTGGGCAGGAAGAAAGCCTCCGTTCCCAGCCGTGGCCCGCCTGCCCTCATTCTCATGTCTGCCCCAGAGGATCCCAAGCACCACCAGGGGCTGTTGTGCAGAAGAACCAGCTGCTGTTTGCCAAACGCCACATTCCATTTCATCTCAGATTGAACCCTTCCTCCTTCCTGGTGCTCCCAGGTCGCCTTGGGAATAAACGGTAGAGGGAAGGCTAGCTAGGTTTTGGTACAATAGAAAGATCAGGTTGAACGTTTTCCGAACATGAAATCATTGTCTGTGAAGTCAGGGCAGGGGGTGGTGTTGGCCGCCACCCGGGCTGCAGCTCAGAGCACGCCAGTCGACATCCCATGATTGCCAGGGAAGCTGCAGCAACTCGGGAGGGACAAGAGGCAGGACTGGTAGCGGCAGATCCCAGCAAGGCGACCGCAGTCTCGGCCCGGGACGTAGGCTGTTTCTCTGAAGGGGTGCTGGGCCCTTCAGGATCCCTGCCTCCCATGCTCTTAAATCACTTTCACTTGACGGTAATGGCTTAGTTGAATCAATGTGTAATCCCTTACTGGGCTGTTGTATACCTACTGATTCCGACACTGAGGCCAACAGACTAAACAGCCAACACTAGATCACTTATGCTGCAGGAGCTGAATCACACAATTTCCCCAGGACCCCGTGAAATCTCTATTAGTTCTGGTTCTCCACCCTTTGTCTTCATGTTGCCCAGAGATCACCTCTCACCCTTTCCCCAAAGAAGAAACAGAACCAGTTGCACCTTAAACCATGGATGTTTTTCCTCAGGGCTTAACATCGTTTCCTATGCAACATGTCTTGTAGCACAAATTAAATTCTACAAAAGTTGCAGTAAATTTTGTTTGGATATTTTAACCTCTTCAGTGCCTGTGTGTGCGCGCGTGTCTTTGTGTGTGTGTGTGTGTGTGTTTCTTATGCCCAGCCAGACTCGTAAATAAAACCTGTGGAAGGATCCATATGTAGTCCAATGTCTCCCTGTCCTCGGTCATCGCTGGGTGGCAGTGCAGCTGTGTACTGAGCGTGTTTTCTTGCTCTGGATTTCACTGCTCTTGAAACATGAATAACTCAGTCTTCACTAACAGAATGGAAGTTGTGTTGTGCAGAACACCCAGAGGGAAGCAAACCGGGGTCTCCTCCTCAGGCCCCAACAAGGAATTCGAGCCATTCCTGTGTGCTGACATGGCCTGAGCTGCCGGGGAGTACTGTGGGAGGGTGGAAGAATGGGGCACCAAGCTGCTTGTGGAGCTCAACCGCACGCGCTTGTAGATGGTGGTGAGGAACGGGGCTTCTAGAAAGTCTGCTTGAGGGAAAATACCTTCAGTCCAGATGCCAAGGCTGGATGGGAGCTGGCTGGACCAAAGACGGGCCAGACCTGGGAGTGGTGTGTCAGTCAGCCTGGGCCATGGGAACGAAAGAAGCTTGCGCAGTCGGAACCCTTCCCACGGCTGGGCTAGGGATCGAGCAAGGGCCTTTTGGCCTTCTTGCGAGCTCCACGCTGCCTTGTGCATACGTGAATTCCAGCTTCTGTAATCTGTGGTTGGGTTTTTGTTTGTTGTTGTTTTGGTTTTTTGTTTTTTGCTTGAACTCTGGGCTTGGGCACTGCCCCTGAGCTTTTGCTCAAGGCTAGCGCTCTACCACTTGAGCCACAGCACCATTTCTGGCTTTTTCTGTGTATGTGATACTGAGGAATCGAATCCAGGGCTTCATGTGTGCTAAGCAAGCACTCGACCCCTGAGCCACCTTCCCAGCCCCAGCTTCGTAATTTGGAGTGTCCCTCAGAGCCCATGTGTGAAAGGCCTAAAGGGGTGTGGCCTGTGGGAGACGCCCGGTCACTAGGGGCGTGGCTTCAGAGGAGCCTGGGGTACCTGCACCAGGCCACGAGGGGGGCAGGCCTCCTTCGCCATGTACTCCACACCATGGGGCAGCAGAGCCAGTCAGCCACTGGCAGAACCTAAACTGAGGAGAAGCCTTTCTTCAAAGTAGGTTATTTCAGGTACTTATTACAGTTAACAACAAGCTGACGAACGCACCTTGGTAAGTCTTGGCCCATTTTGTAGTTGAGGACTGAGTCCAGTTGGTTCTATAACTTATGGGGGCGGGTTCTAGGGATCATGAAGTGTCCAACAAATGGGGAAGCTTAAAAGAAAAATCAGAAAAGTATTTTCTCCAAGTTCTGGAGTCCAAAACATGACCTGTGCTGCCTAGATCTTTCTGCAGACAGTGATTGAATTTAGTATGGTGTCATCTTGATCCCAAGTGCCAAGATGGCCAAAAAAACAAAGGAGGAAGAGGAGCAGAGAGAGAGGAATGAAGTAAAGAAGAAGGAGAGGAGGGAGGAGGAGGAAGAAGGAAGAAGAAGAAAAGGAGGAAGGGGAGGAGGAGGAGGTAGTAAAAGCCTGTCCACAAGTAAGTGCTACAAAAGCCGCCCAGGCCCAAGAGGTCAAGGATGGGCAGCACAGGGACAGGGCTGGGTAGAGGGTGTCATCGCTGTATTACTAACGATTCATTCCTGGCTGCCAGGACAGGGTTCACTTTAACCTAGGACTTCTGTGGCAATAAAATTTGTTTAAAGTAGATGGAAATGAACCCACTTAACTCTTCTTGATTCCATGGACCCATTTGGTAATTTGATGGAGGCTCTAGACTTCTCAGAATTAGGTAAATGTATAACGTAAAGCCTGGGAGGGTAAAGGCATGTCAGGGGTCTAGATGATAGTGATGTTGTGAGAGGTGGGCCTCTATGAGTTAAGACCCCCTCTATCTGCAGGCGCCACCCTAAGGGAGCCAGACCCCAGACTTGCTACCCTTACTGTTGTATTAGGTTTTGGTTTGGTTTGGGTTTTGCTCCAAGGTAGAGAATGGTATTGGTAAAGCTTGGTGTCTAATATTCTTTCTAATGAAGGAGAGGAGAAACCTGAGGAAATTGGTCTCATGGATGGCTTTTTAAGTTTCAAAAAAAAAATCTTCCTTAATTTTCTGCTTCAATTGATTTCCTGTCTTTAAAAAAAAAAAAAAATGAGGCGCTCGAAAGGTGTCTCAGTGGTAGAGCACTTGCCTTGCATGCCTGAGGCCCTGGGTTGATTCCTCAGCACCACATAAGCAGAAAAAAGCCAGAAGTGGTGCTGTGGCTCAAGTGGTAGAGAGCTAGCCTGGAGCTGAAGAGCTGAGGGACAGCGCCCAGGCCCAGAGTTCAGGCCCCACTACCGGACCTAAAAATAAAAATGAGCCGGCACCGGTGGCTCATGCCTGTAATCCTAGCTACTCAGAAGCCTGAGATCTAAGGATCACGGTTCAAAGCCAGCCCAGGCAGGAAAGTCCATGAGACTCTTACCTCCAATGAACCACCAGAAAACCGGAAGTGGCGCTGTGGCTCAAGTGTTAGAGCACTCACCTTGAGCTGGAGAGCCCAGGGACAGCGCCCAGGCCCAGAGTTCAAACCCTACAACTGACAAAAAAAAAAAAAAAACTAGTTAGTTGAGGGGCACTAAGGTAGAGCGGCAGCCTTGCATGAAGATGACACACAAGGCTACATGCCCTGTCTATCACGGACCCCTGCTCTGCCTTCCTGGCCTGGGAGCCATTCTGGGTCAACAACTTCTGTGAGGCCAGTGTTGCCACATTCCACATTGGAGGAGACCAGTGGCACTTCCATATCATTATTCTCTCAAAAGTAGAATGTAGCCAGGCACCAGTGGCTCACACCTGTAATCCTATCTTCTCAGAAGGCTGAGATCTGAGAATCCTGATTCGAAGCCAGCCCAGGCAGGAAAGTCTAGCCACCAATTAACCAGCAAAGAGCCAAAAGTGGAGGTGTGGCTCACGTGGTAGAGCACTAGCCTTGAGTGAAAAAGCTAAGGGAGAGCACAAGGCTCTGCGTACAAGCCCCAGTACTAGCATAAAAAGTAGAATACAGCATTTGCATTGTCTTAAAAGAGGAAGTATCAAAGTATAAGCATAAATTATATGCAAAAACTATGACGTTCTCTGTTTTTTCTTCCATCGCTAGGGATAGAACCCAGGGCTCCCTGCATGCTAGGCAAGCACTTTACCAAACACTGTGAGCAATTTTGGAGTCCTTACTGTCCTAGAATTATTTCTTCAGGGATAGCAGGGGATAACTATATACAACGTATCTGGAAAATCTCCTGAATACTGAGAAATTACACAGCCTACTTTCTATCTTTGGGTCAGAAAGCAAGTTTCAAGATAAATTAGAATGATTTTAGTAGGAGCCAGGCATAATTGTACAGGTCTATAATCCCAGCGCTCAGAAAGCTGAGGCAAGAGAAACACTAGTTCAAGACCAGCCTGGATTCCATGGTAAGACCCTGTGTCAAAAACAGTAACAACAGAACGGAAAATAAAAATCAACACACAAAAACGTACGAGGTGCAATGAATGTGGCCTCCAGTGAAGTTTACAGCACTGAGTTCTGCAAATGCATGGGTGTGAGAGGCTGTGGGCCAACCAACGCTGCAGGGGAGCTGCAGCTCAGAGGAGCTAGAGGGGGGCAGGGTGGAGGAGGATAGCCAGGCACGGTGTGTCACACCTGTAATTCCAGCACTTGGAAGGGTGAAGCAGGTTAACCTGAGCTACAAAGCAAGTTTGAGGCCAGCCTGGGCTACCTATCAAGATTGTCTTAGAAAAGCTAGACACAAAAATCAAGCTGTGAGCCAGGCACCAGTGATTCACTTCTGTAAAGCTAACTACTCGGGAGGCTGAGGTCTGAGGGCTGAGGTTTGAAACCAGCATGGGTAGGAAAGTCTGTGAGTTACCTTAGATTGACCACCAAAAAGCCAGAAATGGGGCTGTGACTCAGCTGGCAGAGTGCTAGCCTTGGGCAAAATAAAAGATCAGGGACAGTGCCCAAGGCCTTGATTTTAAGTCCCAGGACCAATGCGCTCGCGTGCACGTGCACACACACGCACACACGCACACACACACGCACACACACACGCACACACACACACACGGCCAACCTGATGGTGTTTGCTGCCTTTAAGAAGTGATTGGGTGATGAGCGCTCTCATCGATGGGATCAAGGTCCTCAGAAAAGAGACTTCCCTGGCCTTCTGTCACAACAGGACCCTCTCAGCCCCTCTAGGGCACGGTGTTCAAAGCGCCATCCTGGAAGCAGAGACCAGGTTCTCACCACACTGAACCTACTGATGGATTGACCTTGGACTTCCAACCTTCAGAACTGTGAGCAACACATGTCTGTTCTTATAGTCTTGAGAGTTGTGTCATAGCAACAGGCAAAGACTGCTGAGACAGATTGCTGGTCAGCTCAGAGGAAGAAGAGGCACTGGTGGAGAGCGTTCACTGGCTCAGGGAGGCCCAGGCGTGGGAAGAGCTGGCAGGATGTGGGAGACGGGCAGACTCCGCTCCAACTGCATTGGATCCGTCAGGTGGCCGATGGCCTTGGAAGATGGCAGGACCTGGAAACTAGGGGTCCAAAGGGATCAGCAAATGGCATCCTGGAAAGTGGGGAGGAGAAAGAGGCCAAGAGAGATGGAGAGTGAGGGAAGAGGAACCAGATTTAGGACGCTAGCTCTAAGCAGAGGGATCTGAGGCAGAGCTGAGAGAGTGTAGACCTAAGTGTAATGACTGCAGGAAGATTTCCTGGGAAGAAGAGGGAAAGGCCGTAGGACGCGGAGTGGCGAGGCCAAGGCCTCTCTCGCTAGCCCCTCGGCTTCTGACTTGCCCACCTCCCTTTCCTTTCTGCCTCCCCTCCATTTGCTGCTTCTGAAGCCCCGTCTCTCCCTTCATCCTGAGAGGCCACAACAGCCTTGTCCTTGGGCTCGTCTTCCACAGCCACGGAGCACTTCCTCGTGGA